CCCACCAAAAACTGGGGGTGATCTCAGATGGTCCGGAAGGGTAAGCAGATCCTGCTCCACATGTGGCACCCGTCGTTGTGCTTATGTTATTACAAATCCGGTAAATAGTCTAATTCAGTACGTCACATTCGTGAAAAGTGAAGGGTATTGTAGTTACGACATAAGGAACATATCCGATATCATCTGTGAAACGGTTATTCCATAAAGGTCAACCAACTCGTGATGGCGTCCGTAAAATTTACGAAGGGATGATTTCAACTTCACCATTTGGAACTCTTGGTATAAGAGCTTCCTTGTGAGCAGCAATCCTCTATCAGGGAAATCAAGATAGGAAATTCAAGCCCGGGAATATCGTATCAATTGGGAGATATATACTCCGTATGCAGGTGCTGCTGGAATATTGCTACATAGAAATGGAAAGTTCACAATTGGGAAGCTGAAATTATCTCTTTTGTCGTAAAGTTATGTTTTTAACCGACCCTCATTGTCAATTTCTAGATGTAAGGCAAGATATGAGGCAGACTTATCTGTATCTGTAGTATCATTTATCTCTAGTTCGATGGGATAGATTCGTTCAACATAGTCACCAAATTTTGTATTATTTAGTGAGAGAACATCATCTATATAGCGGAACGTAAAGTTAAAGGATAATGCTAACTTCTTAACTTTCTTCCTTAGAAGTTCCTGTATGAAGTCAGCCTCATAATTATAAAGAAATAAGTCGGCAAGAAGAGCTGCACAATTTGTTCCCATTGGAATTTCGACAGTCTGTTGAAAAACACGTCCTCCAAACGTAAGAAACATGTCAATCAAGAAATCAAGCATCTTGATAATGTTAGTTTCAGAGAATTATAAAGTATAGATACATTTCATATCAAAAAAATTACCAAGAAAATATCTTCGACATGTACGTAGCGCTGAATGTGTCACTTTGCAATACATATTCATTGAAAATTAAACCAAGAGGGCCCCGGGCAGCGCAATGACTAGATATTTCCAATCTTTCAATCTTAAATATATATATATATAAATATATCAAAAAAGAGGGTGCCGTTCCTCAAGCACCTGTGCGAGGGACTTTCAGTGTCACTACTATACAAAAGAAAACAAATATCAATGGAAAAGGACTGGATGCGTTAGATAGACCTCCATTTAATAACAATCATCATCAAATTTAGCATAGAGAAAATTCAGATATAATAATTAAAGATTATATTGTGGAAAATATTTTGTCTTCAATATGAATGCAGGGCTCTACGTGCCAGTTTGATATTCAAAATACATTGCAACAGGCTTGAATATAACAGTTAGAAGTTTGGTTCCAGTTACTTACATATCGAATATTAAATGTTTCTCGGAGGTATCTGTATTCATACCTAGTCTTATTATTACCCATATGAAAGACCAGGAAGTCTCCGTTAGTCTTTTTCGATATATTTTACATTTCAAACTTGAACTTTGAGTCCTGCATACATACTTTGTATCGAAGACAAAACAATTACGGAAATGTCCTTTTTTACTTTTTATATCTATTTATATTTTCAAATATTGCTAGATTGTCCGTTTGGTTTTGTTTTTTAAAATGTTAGGTTTTAAAAGTACAACTACGATTGCATTTTAATGACAAAAATATTTATTATTAAAAAAAGAAAATTGTAATGTACGTAAGGTTTTATCATCAAGGACAACGAGAAATAATGATAACATGTAGAGGTCACAAAACGATTGTGTACATCTCTTTTTACTCCTTTTAAGTATTTTCGCCACTCTAGATTTATACTTTTTGTCAGATATTTGGAATCCTCTAGTTTTATCCATTAGGTACCAACAACCATTTTTGCCGGCTATCCCCTACTATTCTGTACATAATGTTATTGCATACAGTTTAAAAAGCCATTTTTCGAAAATCTTATTAACTCCTTGTGATGTTTTCACAGTTTTTGAAAGAAAAAAGGTACCAAAGCTAAACGTATGAAAAATCTCAAGAGAATAAACTCCCGCCAAATTTGCAGTTGTTTATATCTCAAAAACAAAGACACTGACCTTTCATTATTTTCTGCTTTTTAGGTTCCGTTATTTATATACTATCAATTTACAACAGTCTTGTAAAAAAGCTTGTCATTTTGAAACAGAGGAGCGAACATCCTTAAATTACTACATGTACTACTATCGTTTTTTAAATAAGTTATCGAATATTCAAATTTTTTATTAGTTTAACTAAGAAAAGTTGAATACCGAAATGTCTGCTAGCAGATGGTTTGATATTGAATATCAAAAAACGAATAACCAACCGGACACTAACTTCACATACATACAGTTGCAGTAACTTTACTTATCTTGATTAATTGAAAACTTGCTTGTTCAGTAATGTATGCTCCGACTTACAAATCTTTCGGTTCTTTTAAACTTGCTTGTTTAGTGAGCAATTGAGAGGTCAACTTTTAATCAAACGAAAATACACATTCATAGATATGTGGTTGCATTTCTCTTTAATTCTTTAAATAATTTTGACCTTAACTTAAAAGATAGTGAACCGTTTAATTTAGAAAAACAAAAATACGCAACATAATTCATACTTTACTTCCGACATCAGTCATTCTTTTCTTACTTATCGTACCTACTAAGCATACATGTACATATTTATGTTTTCGTTAGGATGATTGAACATGATTCCAATTCAATTATCTTCTGTTTAGCATAAAAAATTACCTGAATGTTATATAAGTATGTCTGAATGGTCGTATACCTTAGTGGTTGATATCAAAAGTCCGGACGTTTCTGATAGCTATCTCCATAATATTGGCGACGTTGCAGTGTTAAAATTTCATAATCCAAAATGGCGTATTGTAAAAGATGTGACCTATCACATATAAAAAATAGCTGTTTGACGACAAAGCTCACGTGAACGTCAAGGAATGAACAATGAAATAGTTATGTATTACAAAACCTTACAGGGAAAGTAGAAGTAGTGTCGAAAAATATTGCAATAACATTTCTTTAAGCGTTCACTTAACTTTTGTAGACGATGTATTTAATTTAACTTTTAAACCCAATCCCTACTTGATTTATTGAGTGATATATATTAGACTATGCAGGTTTATTTTCCATTACGTCATCTTACACAGGTAATTTGTTAACTCGTTCGATTAAATTACAATAATAATGACACTATGTCTGTTATATGGTACTGTGAATTCATTATTATTCGTTGGATACCAATTTTCGTGGATTTCGTGGGTACAGGTGAACCACGAAATTAAATGTTCAACGAATGACAAATTTTCTGTAGGCATGTATGCAGGTTTTGTCAAAACCACGAAATTAAATATCCACGAACATGCAAGTTTTCCTTAATCCACGAAAATTGGTACCCACGAAAATAAATGAATCCACAGTATACTAAAAAAAAAGTATGATGAAGTAGGGTACCTGGTGTCATCGCTTCTCATCCATATCACAACTATCCAATTTCTCATTTCGAATTCACCATATTCAATTGAATGAGATTGACGTATGATTTGTCGTCATTAGGTCATACTATGATACATGCATAGCAGGAGATGCTCGCGGTTTCGCTCTTTGTTATGTTTTGTTTGTTGCCTTATGTTTGATTTTGTCAGTTTTTATGGACTTCCCCTTTTTGAATTTGTCTTGGAGTTCAGTATTTTTGTAACTCTTTGTTACTCTGTCTTTTTTATCGGTTTGTGAGCTTTGAACATCAGTAAACTATCATTGCCACAATTAAAACAGTTTCAACAAAAAAAAAAAAAAAAAAAAAACCGAGGTCAATATGCTTATGACTAATTATACATTTTTCAAGCTTAAAGGTAGACTAATCTCTTTTAAAAACTGCATACTGTAGAATGTCAATATTAGATTGCAGATCTAAAAGAATAATGATATTGTGTATTCGTTCAATTTTTTAATTTTTGAACTAATTCGATTAAAAGGCTGGAATGAACAAGTTAAAATCTAAATATGTGAATGGCCATTAAAAACGAATATATCTGTTAAATTTGTACTTTGTATTCTTGGAAAAACCCCCAAAAAATCATTGAAACGTCTACTTTGTATAATTGACAAACAATTAAAAAAAGTTCGTGAAATTGGTTTGTTTATGTGTCATATATTTGTTTTTCGTTCATTTTTTGTACATAAATTAGGCCGTTAGTTTTCTCGTTCGAATTATTTTACATTGTCATTTCGGGGCCTTTTATAGCTGACTGTGCGGTATGAGCTTTGCTCATTGTTGAAGGCTGTACGGTGATCTATAGTTTTTAATTTCTGTGTCATTTGGTCTCTTGTGGAGAATTGTCTCATTGGCAATCATACCATATCTTCTTTTTTTTTTATATAAACCGCGAAAATAAATAAAATAAAATAAAGACAACCTCTGACATAACGTATAGGAATAAAACAAAAAAGGGTAGTCTGAGCAGTGATATGTTGCTATTGAATATAATTAGCTGCAAAGGTGTTGTATTTTTGGAATGTTGATTCAAAAGTTTATTCGCAAAATGTGTATATTGCTAGCTATTTATTTTTTTTACTAACAGATACTATGTACGAAAATCAAGTTTTGAAACAAATCAACACTTAAATTACGGTAAGAAATATAATTTAACAGATTGTATTTTAAAATCGAATTTCAATTTTGAGTTTTGCGTTTTGGCAAGATTTTAATACATGCATAAATCATGTAAATATGATATCTTTAAATATCTTGGTAAATGAAAGAAAATATGGCAAAAAGAGTTACAGTAGTGTAAGACTGTTGTATTGTTTTTTTAAATTTTAGTCATGCAGTGTAAATTAAACTTAAAAAATATAAACCACTACTTTAAGATAATTTATATTTTAGTTGTTAACACTCTTTTAAAACGTACAATAAATTCATATTTGATTTTTCATCGATTAACGATACATAAACTGGCACATGAATGCTACCTTTTTATTCATGTTTTCCATTTAAATGTGTAGTACACATATATAGTGTTCTCATGAATATTTACATAACGTACATTGGATAATCAACATTTTAGATTGTATTTAGTAATTGATAAAGAAACTGCCACTTAGTAACCTTAATAACATTGTCTTTCACTCATTATCTACACAATGAAGGTTGAGAGTTAAAAGTTGTTTTATTTTATGGATATTAGACAAAAACGAAAGTTGTTTCATTACTTTTGTCAACATGATCCGTTTACAACATATTCGACATTGTGATTACTCCGGTTAATTGAAATGTCCACAACAACGAATCTTATGATGTAAGTATAAAACGATTAAAAAAAATTGAAGAATAGCACACATTTTACGGGCACACATCTCTAAAAGAATCTCTCTTTAGTTTGTCTCACTCTGACTACATACGTCGTAATAAGGTTCTGCATCATTTCATAATTCTTATATAACGTAACAGCTCAATTGATAAGTATAGTTTGCATTTCTGTAAATATAGACAATGCAATTTCCCATAGGAACTCCTTTTACGGCTAAAAATGTACCACTTTTACTGTGAAGTTTCGAAAACAAATTATATCCTAGAATGAAAAGCTCATATGCACTACAATTTTATTCAAAGGTCAAAATATAGGGCTGTGCGGCATATTTTCAACATTTATATGCCCCGAACTTCTAAGAGTTTTAACCTGTACTTAAATTCTGAACTACCCCTACCTTCATTCTTGGTCTCCCTAAGAATTCAAGGTTGCCGCTATATTTTTTTTATTTATACTGGTAACATTCCCAAGTGATGTCTCTATGAGATGAAACATAAAGATCATATCTGGAAACCAGTACGTAAACAACACAATTTATCTATGAATACTATATATCCCCCCAAAATAGGCGTGGTTTGTGAAATAGCTGTAATTACAAAGTACAACCCACAAGGACCAAACCAATAATTAAGTTTTTATCCGTAATAATACAATACAGAATAATTTATAAAACTGGAATAATTTCGGTCTTCTGAGTCTCTCTATATACATGATATATTCTGGCAAAACCGAAAGTCCAAGATTTTAACGTTTTTTTGGAGGAACACGACGGGTGTTGCATGTGAAACAGGGTCTGTCGACCCTTCCGGAGCACTTGCAATCACCCTAGATGTCAATGGGGTTCATGTTGCTCAGATTTTATTGTTTACCAAGACATTAGCGGTTCGTTGTCGACTAATGAGGTTTAACGTCTCTTTGATAGCGTTCGCCTCTCTTTTTATAAATTTTGAAGGTTCAAATATGATATAAACTGTTTTTAAATGCATGTGTTAGATCTTTAATATCTTTCTAGAATCATTCTTTTCAAATGGGTTCAGCACAACTTTAGTTAAATGAATGAACCAACAATCCTGCATGTTTTATAGCTCTTAACATTGGTGTTTAACCTTTCTTATGAAATATACGAAAAGCACTATAATCACGTTCTAATTCAGTAAGCGTGTTTTATTTTCTTTAACGCGCATGACGCAATTAAAAGAAAACTATATCATACCAAATACATTTTACATATACATGAGCCTTTCTAATTCCTAAAACAATGTAAAAATAAATACAAATAAGGGGATGTGGTATGATTTAGATTTGTAGATGGAGTTCCAATTGTTGGTCACGTCAGATCTATGATATATTATTATCGAGGCCAGAGGAAACAAGCTGTCAAAGCATTTATGCGTGCAACCCACAATACAGGAGTGACATGTTTTGGAGTTTTGGGAAGAGCTCTAACTGATCCTCCAGAATCAATTACAGACATTGTTGCAGGACCTGTTGCAGGAGGTATCATAGGAGGAATATGTGTTGATGCATTAATAAGTGCATTCAATTTAATGTGCTACGGATATGTCAGTTATGCTAAAAAGTTGATGAATCGGAACTTTAAGGAAAACGATCTTTTAGATTTAGGAAAATTGACATTCAAAGACGGAATGATTGGACTATCAGCCTTTCTAGTATACATGATTGCTACGCACGTCGAAAAACAAAATGAAATAAACGGTCATATTTTAACGGATGAAACTAAAGGTATTAATGAAAAATATTATAATTTGAAAGCTTTCCTACAATTTACAACCTCCTACCTTTTCGTTGCGTCTAGGAAAACGAAATGCAAAAAAAAAAAAAGAAGACGACAAAAACACTACATAGAAAACTAAAGACTGAACAACATGAACTCAATCATAAAATAAGGTGATCTTAGGTGCTCCGGAAGCGTAAGCATATGCTGCACCACTAGTGGCATCCGTTGTGTTGCTTTTTTAATTGTAAATATTCATTTGGTGACGTCACAATTTAGGAGGAAAAGAGGAAGGGTTTGCATTTACGACAATTTGAACATATGTTTGGCCATCTGTGACACATACATTCAAAAACGGTCGACCAACTCAAGACGGCGTTCGTAAAACTTTCGAAAGGATGACTTCAAATTCAGCACCCATAAATCCTTCGTCAAAAACTTCATTGTAAACAGCAACTCTACATATATATATTAAGAATTTCGTAATAGCAATTACAAGCTTTGAAATATCGTAACAACTTGAAATATATACTCCATATTTAAGCCTTCTTTGCATCTTGGAAAATGGAAATAGAAAGTTCACACAATTAGAAAGTTGAAATCATTCATTCTGTTGTAAAGTTTTAATCTCAACCGACCTTCATTTTCAATTTCTAGAAGTAAGGCAATGCATGAAGCAGAAGTGAGATAATATAAATATTTTGTGCCATAGTTCCAGTTGTATAAGATTAATCGTTTGTACAAACTTTGACATGGTAACATTTAAGGATATCTTAATTAACAATTGTACAACACTTACTATTTCTATCCGATACAATTTGTTATTATTACCGAATGCTTACAGATTTAATTTACGCATTAGTCCAATCGCATCCTACATGAGGGGTAAGGAAAACATCAAAAGTGTTAGTTTTTAAAGAAAAAGATAATTGTTCTTTTCTGATACAAACTGATTTTGTATAACATCAGAAAATTTTACCGTACATCAAATTTGTATAAGCCATTTTGTGTGTTAAGAATAAAACAATTGAAAAGAAAACCAATATAATGGGCTAAACATTTCACAGTACACAGTACAAGAAATTAAACATTGAAGAAGAAAAACAAAATCAGGCATGCATTAAAACTGTAAAACATGGAAGAAACTCATGTGTTATTATTTCAAATAAATATTAATTTACATATCTTTTACTAGATTTTCTGAGACACTGCTTGGTGCATTAAAAATCAACACAATAGTCGAATGAATATATCCAGAACAATAGTCTTTTTGAACAAAGTTTACTGAATGCTGATATTTTACTACAAATATACATGTGATGTCATTGATTATGAAACGGGTTTCTAAAAAGAACCTTTCGAAATACGTTTGGGACCAGAAGGTTAAAAAACATATATCCTAAACGTTTACAAACAAATTATGACCAAAGAGAACCAATTATTCATATCAAAAACGTTACTTCGAAAAAGATGTTACCTTTCATTGGTATAATGAATTTAGATAAACTGAAACAATTATTTTAACATGTGTAAATACAATGTATAATTTAATAAGCTAATCGATGATATTATATGAAATATTTTCCCCCATTTATGTTGGACAGGCCACGGCACCGAAATTAAATGTTACTCAAATGTATGTGAAACACAAGTAATTACAAAAGGTAATTCTTAATTTTAGATTTTTTCCCTTCAAAACCTTTTAGGCCACACCAATTTAATTTCTTTTTCTATAGATTTTTCCACCGCAGAAATTAGGGCGAGCGAGCGGTTTGAAAATTTTAATAAAAAAATAATTAATTTGCCAATTTTTGGTGCGAAGCTTAAAAAGTAAAGGCGAGCGATTATATTTTTTTTTGTAAAGATAAAATCATAGGTTCTGACAATATTGATCAAAACAAGATGGTATGGAACTTGATTTACCACTTGTACTTTCACATTTCTTTAATTTATCAACTGCTGAATTGGTTTTTTCCTGTTCACCAAAATGCCACTTTTAATTGCAACATATTAATGACTTCTTGTATAACTGTTACTTTCTGAGGACATCAGATCTTGAACTGAATATTTGAATAATTACTTCAACTGCCTTAAATAATCTACATTGATGTCTTTCCTCCTTCCTCGGACATGACTTATAACTAGCAACATGGCGGGTTTCTTGTTAGTAGCAGGAACTGCTCATCCTTTCCGAACGTCTGAGTTCACCCCAGTTTTTAGGGGTTCGTGCTGTTCGTTGTCGAATGAGATAGCTCTCCATCCAAGTCACAATGTATTTACCACTATCGAAGTCTTATCCCTCTATACATCTTCTCTATACAGGTATAAACCCCATATATAGAGTTTGTTCTCAACCTGTTTAAAGTAAACAATAATAGGTCAAAATACGGCATTCAACACAGAGCCTTGGCTCTCACCGAACAGCAAGCTATAAGGCCCCCAAAATGACTAATGTAAAACAATATTGCAGTTGAATGCAACACTTCTTCTCTTTCTACGTCCTTAATTCAAATAAATAATCGGCATGATTTGGTGAATAATCGTCCTTGACATTGATGAGAAATTTGTGTTAATGCTCGAAACAGTTTAAAGAGTCGCAATTTGACGTTGCCTAAACGCTCTGCCGTTCGCTTTTTTACCTATTTTTTAATGTTTACATAAAACAAAAACGGCGCGGGAAATTGACACGATTACTTTTCCGGATGCAGGAAGCGGGAATATTTAAAAATATTTTTTTCTTAACGAACGGGCGGGCAGGTACATCGAACATAGGATTAAATTTGCGTGGCCTAAGCAATCGTATATTGATATTCCTGTTATTTCTTTATTAACTTCACCAACTTGTATATGTGCTTCAATCTATAACAATCAAATATAACACAAACACTGAACTCATGGACAGATTAAAAAAAGTGGAAGTCCCCAAAAACAAACACAATCAAACGGAACAAGTGAAAAAGAACTGCCATGTTCGTGACTGATGAGTACAGGCGTTAACCCGAGACAAAGTCACACGACCGAAAGAAATATAACAGCACGAAGACAAATAACAGGGAAATAAAGTAAAATAAAAAGATACACAGCTTCAGCCTCAGCATCTTGAATCTAGTATTATTTTTGAAGTAGGCACTGAATATTTATCTATGGTACTTTCCGAGGAACGTTTTAGAAAACAAATGAGACATTCTTTGAAAAAAACCAGGCTAATCATTTTTCTTTGCGCAGACACCGATGACGTTTTACAAAGAAGGCCTGTTTAATATTAAAAATCTGCGTATACGAAAAGCATAAAAAGGTTCAGAGGGTCATCTTACATTTGTTTGTATGCGGATAGCTATTTGTCAACCCCATTTTGCTGTTCCCTGTTGAACATTTAGACTGTTCGGATGTCTAAACTAGAGGCTCTAAAGAGCCTGTGTCGCTCACCTTGGTCTATGTGCATATCAAACAAAGGCCACTCTCCAACATTGTAGACGAGAATAGACTTCATGACAAAAATCTCTATTTTGTTAATCTTGTATTATTGATCTTTTAGTCTGTTTAGTTTCTCTCTATCTTCTTTAATTTGTGCTCAAAACACAAAAGAGGGTAAAAAAAAATCCTCATTTAAGGGCAATCACTCCTATGAAGAGTGGCAGTCTACTAACTATATCGGCAAAATTTGACTTGCTGATCATTTTTGTGATTTAAATTGTTAATTTATCTATTATAATTTAAATCATATAAGCATAACGGAAAAAATGTTTCTCTCTAAATATCATAGTTTTCGTGATAATAGACAAAAATGAAAAAAAAAATGGTAAAATTTGTCATTTATGGGCAATAACTCCTATAAGAATTTGTCTAACAGTTTTGAAGAATATGGACAATTGGAAAAGCTCATTATTCTGAACATTTTTGCTCGTTCAGATTTTCTCTATTTATAATGGTTCAACAAATATTAAACAAAACTTGCATTTTACCCCTATGTCCTATCTTTAGCCACGTCGGCCATGTTGGTTGGTACTTTGAACGACAAAATTATTTAATATCTCCCTGTGTGACGTCAAACACGCGATTCTACGCCAGTACTTAAAACCTTCCATCCTTTATGGGTGGATTTTACATAGATAAATAAAATCGTATAATAAAACAGCAAAATGAGGATGTTAAATTTGATGTATGCCTTTTTGTGCTTCTTTGTTACATTTGTTTGTTTTTAATGTGATCAAGATGATAAAAAAATGTTGACTGCTGTACCCCTATGTTTGACATTTTTACCTATTGTGTCTGTTTGTTTTGTTCACGCACCGTTGTCAATATAATGGAATTTGATGCGACTGTCATACAAGTGAGAGGTTTAGCTAGCTGTAAAACCAGGTTTATTCCACCATTTCCTTCTTAAGAAATTGCCTGTACCAAGTCAGGAATATGACAGTTGTTATCCATTCGTTCGATGTGTTTGAGCTTTTGATTTTGCCATTTGATTAGGGACTTTTTTTTTTAATTTTCCTCGGAGTTCAGTTTTTTTGTGATTTTACATTTTTGGTAGGCAGGGTCATCAGACATATTTTTTAAACTAAATACCCTAATGATGATTGTGGACAAATTTGGTTAAATTTGTCTCAGTAGTTTCAGAGGAGAAGATTTTTGTAAAAGATTACAAAAAATTTCAAAAAATTGTTTAAAATTGACTATAAAAGGTTATAACTCCGTAAGGGACTTATTTGTAGATCCTACTTTGCTGAATATTATTGCTGTTTACAGTTTATCTCTATCAATAATAATATTCAAGATAATAACCAAAAACTGCAAATTTTCTTAAAAAAGCCAATTCAGGGGCAGCAACCTAACAACGGTTTGTCTGATTTGTCTGAAAATTTCAGGGCAGACATATCTTGACCTGATGAACAATTTTATCCAATCTGATTTGCTCTAAATGCTTTGATTTCAGAGATATAAGCCAAAATATACATTTTGATTTACTTTGGCCCAGTAGTTTCAGAGAAGATTTTTGTAAAAGTTAACGACGGACGACGGACGCCAAGTGATGAGAGAAGATCACTTGGCCCTTTGGGCCAGGTGAGCTAAAAATGAGTAGGCATTATGGAAAATTGAAAGTTTATTCTGTTTGCAAATTTATTTGGGACTATTAATAAACTTGCGCCGTTTGTACGATGCGGTGTTACCCATTCTTTCAAATTGTCATCGTTTTATACATATAATTTTTATTTGTTTATTAAATGTTAGAATAGATGAATATTCTGGACTTCCACATTAAATATGCAAACGATTTCTTGTGTTTTGATTACTCGTTAAGATAACAGAATAGTCTTCTGAACTGTATTAAATAAACCGATTTTGTCCTATTCCTATGGCTGAATGTGGATTCATATGGCCGGTGATGCATGCATAGTAGGAGACGCTAAGATTATTTACCTGTCTGCGCAACCAGTCTCGCATGTTTTGAAATTCAGTTGATTATCTAAATGATAATGTGTTGTTGAACAGCGTGTCTGTTAATATTTAATTACTAACATGTATATAAGAGGAGACAATAATTTCATTCAGAATATACAAATTACGTAAAGGACAAATCCCCAAAAAAAACTCAAAACCCTAAAAGGAGCCACACCAGATGCGTCGACAAATTAAGTACCGACTACTTAGTAGGCCTAATTTTTTCATATGTGTAACAAAAATAATAACCTTGCATATCAAATGTATAAAAATAATTTATTAAATTGAGGTAGGTTTGTTTTCTTTTATTTGAAGAAAGCGGTTATTCCAGAGATTTAGGAAATGTCGTCCTGCCATTACTTTTCGAAAAAACGGTACGTATATTAAACTATTCTACTCTTATTATACTTATCTAGTATTAAAAACGAAATTCTGAAGTTGACAACAAAATTTAGAAGCAAATAAGAAACAAGTAATACCAGAAGTTTGATCTTTATGAAGCTAAGAATGCAATACTAATTCTAAATCAAAGGATGTATATTTTAATTTTTGTACATAAAATTAAAGAAACGTAGCAACTTAATACTGCTTAAAGCTGACTGCATACTTATCTAAGTATACGAAAAAAACACTTTATAAGTTCCTGCGTCCGAATCGCTTTTCTGAATTAATCTTTATCAGGAACGCGCAAACCGTACTTTTGAAAGCCAATAATGTATAGATATCTGAATACATGAGGAGTTTTATGGCCAAAAATCAAATAAAAGGTTAGCAAAATTAATCATTTTCCTCTGCAAAACAACTATTCAGACAGTAAAGAGGAACACTCATAATATATTGCAAGGATACAATACAATTTAAATGTAATAAGAGATATTGCTACAAAGATAATAACCATTACAGAGATGATGATAAAGAATGAAATGATTAAAATTATTAACATTATTCTATACAAAATTCGATAGATACCAAAGAGAAATTCAAAAATAATAAGTCTAAGTAAAAATGACAACGCTATGAAAAAAAAAGACTTCAAAACGATGCCGTTCAAACAACCAATAAAAAATACTACATAGAAAATTAAAAACAAAGTAACAAGAATATAAACAGTATATGAAAATGAAGATACACGTTTAACTATTATATTGTTTCATTTATAGCAAGAAGTTAAAAAAATTAAAGTAGACAACATTTTGCAATTAAAACCTGGAGATCATATCGTGTATGAAAGAAGGATCAGTGAGAAGTCACATTTATATGATCATCACGCTATAGTCGGGGAAGTACTTCCTGAAGAGGGCAAATACACAGTATACGAACAATCAGCACCGTCTAATAAGAATGAATTAAAATTAACGGGGAAGGCATCGATCAAAGAAATTGAAAAGCGTTTTGATAATAAATCATTGTATAAGATAGATCACGGAAAAACAGCTTTGTCGAATTATGAAGTTCAGAAAATGGCGCATTTCATTTGTCATCATGGCTCTCATCTAGACTTTATGAAAACCTACAATTTGCTTTTTAATAACTGCGAACACTTTGCAAATTTCTGTGCAACAGGGCAACGGGAGAGCTATCAAATTCAACAATCTACTGTAGTAGGAATTAGCCGTGACATATTTGGTATATTCAGATTTTATTACTACCAATTATATGCAATTTGGTACTTTATGAAAATTATCTTTTCCGTTTTTAAAAGTTGTATACAAATTATAGTTACAGTCTCTAAAGGTTTGATCAGAAAGATTAATCAGAAAAAGCGTAATCACAATGCATCAGGCTTGTGAATGCTAGAATAATGAATTAGACCAAAAAATATAGAGCAGAAAGACACATACACAATTGTCAAACTATTAACCAAAAATCAAACCGTCCCTGATACCCAAGATACATTAGACATCCGACAATTTGACAATATTTAATTCAAATCTGACTGTTGAAGGCCTCACTGTGATTTTGAGATGAAGAACAGCTTTTTGTGTTTTTTTGCTGTGCAAAGAATTTCTGTCATGAATGGACACCCCATATCCTGTCTTTTCTCTTTAGTTATAACCCTAGAACGTACCAAATTCAAAAAGAGGTTCATGTAAATTGATATTCCCGAATCCGCATGAAATAATCATTCTAGGAAAAAGAATAGTATTTAAAAAAAAATGTACACTTTAATATGGTGCTGGTGATTTCAAGATAAGAAGAAAAAATAGTATTTTGAATCAGTGATAGCAGGATATAAGAAATTAATTGAACTTTTGATATGCACTTTGCATAACTAGTTGGCGTTCTACAGGGTTGATGTTTTGTTATTTATCAATGAAATAAAAAGTTAATGTCTAAGAGTGAAAATGAAAAGACCTAGTTAAATTATACGTGTTTGAATGGGGGAAAATAGTGTTTTCTGTTCTCTTTTAGTAATTAAACGTTTATAAAAAACGGTAAAATTGAGAAAAAAATCTACAATAATTAAGCGATGTTTTCCATCAAAATAAAACTATTTAGACAATTGTCTAGACCGCAGGGAAGGCGTTTAATTTTAAACAAGTTTTAAAATTATTATAGAAGTCTAACAACAAAAGTAATATGATAAGTTGCCAAGTGACGAAAATTGCAAAGAAACTAATGAAAGACTTTATCCGTTATTACAACTTGTGTATCAAATGCATTCAATTTGTTTGTGTTTCTTCTTGTAAATAATACTGACTAAAGGCATGTGATTACTTGTGATATGTTTGTTGAAAGGTTTTCCTGACGGCTCTGTATAATAATGATGAATTAACTTTATAATTTGTATAATATTGTTATGTAAATGTAATTTTGTATTATTAGACATGTAAGATGACGCACCAAACTTATCTGTGGTTCATGTTTTGGAATTTTGACATTTGTTCTAAGGTCAAACTTTTTTTATATTCAAACAAATGCAATTATATTAGCGTAAAGAAACACATCGCTAATGAGGATGTCTGGCTTCACTATAAATGATTTCACTGTTAGTCAGTTTGGTTTAGGATATTATTTCAATGTCTTATATTACGACATTTATTTTTGTTTTCTTTTTGTATGAAAAGAAAATTGGTAACCTATAGCTGTTAACTTCTATGCAATTTGGTCTCTGGTGGAGAGTTGTCTCATTAGCAATTATACCACATCTTCTTATTTTTATATCCACTGCACAAAGCAAACATGAATACATGTCCATAGGACACAATTACACACTCACACTATCGTATTCCCCTGTTCGGTGAATCACGAAAGCTGAGCCAAATCTTTATTTGCATCATAATGAAAATGTTTACTAGGTGTTAAGTAATGTGACCATAACTTCTTGGTAAACTACCTTGACCAAAAACTGTCAGCTGATACTGGACGACGTTTCCATATCAACTAATCGTCTCGTATAGACCATGACATAACAACAAATGCAGAAGTTAGGTATTACAATTTTAGTTTAACATAACTTTAATTGATCTTTACTCGTGTTATTTCTTTTTAGACTGTTCATCCTAATTCTCTTTATCGGTCATGTAATAGGGTTTGCTCCCTTTTTCTATATTGTTTATTTCCCCTACTTTTCGAAGTACGGGACTTAGGTAACCCCCCCCCCCCCCCCCCCCCCAAAAAAAAAGAAAAAAAACCCCACGAAAATCAGTTGTCCAATTTCATTATTATATGTTATTGGTAAGACAATCAACGGCAAACACGATTGTTTATCGATTGACTCTATTTCGTTTTATATATTTTTTTAAATATCACGAAATATTATTGCATTCAATATAATAATGAAAAGGAGACAAAAAGGATAACCACATTTAAGGTATGTTTGGTTTGAAAAAGGTATGACCTACAATGTTGTCAGCTAATGCAACATGTATTAAAGTAAAGAGTTAAAGCCATAAACCGTCGTGCATGCTTATCAACTTTTCTTTGAAAGATCTTTAACGAAATCCAACATTAAAGAATAATCTTATATTCAATAGATTGATTATAGATTAGATTATAGCATCACATGTTCACAGGAATTTCGTTTTTGATATATAACATTGGATCAATTTCACAATACATAAGGAAAGCTTTAAGTGTCGTTGGTAAAAGAAGGCCGTTGATATTCGATTCAAACTATTTTCCTGTGATGGCGTGTATTGTATTTCGTATAGTAATTCGGGTCTGATCTTTCAATGATGCTGGTTTCCTGAGCTCCTCAAATATGAAACCATTTGTGTTGATTCCAGTTATGATGTCCGATCTTTTTATATTCAACGGTAGTACATTTCTAAATTTTAGTTCATGTTTAATTAAGATATACAAGAAGAATAAATTTGTGAATTCATAATTATATGTTTCATTTATAAGCCATGCTGTTTCCTCGTAATATTTCCGGTCTATTTTGCAACCATATTTCAACAAAATGAAAGTTGCGATATGCCGACGTGTCCTCATTCCATAATATAAGGGAGATAATCCATGAACATCCTTACCGTTGACGATTGTACCACACTTTAAAAGATGTTCCAAAAATTTTGTTTCCTTCTCTTAAAACTTCTAAATATTCATCAATTTGAAACATCCCATTTCTTAAACAATAGTAAAGTGGAGTCTGTCCTAGTGAATCTTTGATATTAATATCCCCACCTGACTTTAAAATGACCTTCACTGTTTCTAATGTCCCCGCACTACAGGCGATATGCAAGGGTCTTCTGTCATTTGGCAGTGATAGGTTTATGTCGGCACCGTGTGAAATTATAAATGACACGATGTCCGTGTGACGGCTTTCAATCGCACTTAACAGTGAACATTTCGGACACGTTAGCTGTAAAATGTTTTTATTTCGTTTTTCTGTCTTATTGACAACCGCTCATGAAAAATACAAATATTTTAGAAAACAATTATGTTTAAAAAAATGTTTGCAAGGTCGTGAACTTTCCACTTTCTTTTATGTTGTAATGACCTTCAATACAGATACAATGACAATGGATTCGGTCGAGGATTATGCCAGGCAATGGGCTAAACACGAGAAAGAAGACGTAGATACTCTTTCCGAATGGATTAAGGCTGTAAGGTCGTTGATACAAATCAGAATTAAGAAACTAAATGGGTCTATCAATACCCATGCTACGTCAATCTTTAAAGACCCAAATGTTGCAAAACACTTGTCCTACCTCCGTGACAAATATGTTGTTGTCCCCGCAGATAAAGCCACAAACAACATCATTTTTGTGTGTAAATTTCATTACATAAACTGCTTGATAAATGAATTAGGTATTGACAATTCACTTGGAAACTCAACATATGCCCTCACGACACTTACCAAAGAGGAAATCCTGGATAATCATAGATCTGTTCTATGTTCCATTGGAATTTCAACCAAAGATGAAGAACTGGATCTTCCATCACTGTATTGTTATATTGCTGGGTCTTCCAAGTGCTCCACGAAACCTCTTTCTAAATTATTAACATCTATTTTATCAGCAATCAAAGCCGGGCTTCAAAGTTATTGTGAAACTGCCTATTCTAGAGATGGCGTGAATCAGATGTGGATACAAAAAAATTCCAAAGATCTTTTAGAGTACATACATTTAAGACTCTCTCATCTTGCAATAGTATTAAAACACTTGACTTTTCTACACTTTACACAAGTATTCCCCATTCCAAACTAAAAGACAAATTGAAAGAGTTGGTATTGCGTTGTTTCATAAAAAAAAATGGCGAACGTAGATACAAGTATCTTGTCTTGAGGAGGGATAAATCCTACTGTGTAAAGAATCACTCTGATTCAAACAAAAAATTCTCTGAAACTGACATTATCAAGATGCTTAACTTCTTGATTGACAATATATTTGTTACGTTTGGAGGACGTGTTTTTCAACAGACTGTCGGTATTCCAATGGGAACCTATTGTGCCCCTCTTCTTGCCGACTTGTTTCTTTATTATTACGAGGCTGACTTCATACAGGAACTTCTTAGGAAGAAAGATAAGAAGTTAGCAATATCCTTTAACTTTGCTTTCCGCTATATAGATGATGTTCTCTCATTAAATAATTCAAAATTTGGTGACTATGTTGAACGCATCTATCTCCTCGAACTTGAGATAAAGGATACAACAGATACAGTTAAGTCTGCCTCATATCTTGACTTACATCTAGAAATTGACAATGAGGGTCGGTTGAAAACAAAACTTTACGACAAAAGAGATGATTTCAGCTTCCCAATTGTGAACTTTCCATTTATATATCTCCCAATTGATACGATATTACCGGGCTTGTATTTCCTATCATGATTTCCTTGATAGAAGATTGCTGCTCACAAGGAAGCTATTAAACCAAGAGTTCCAAAAGGTGAAGTTGAGGTCATCCCTTCGTAAATTTTACGGACGCCATCACGAGTTGGTTGACCGTTATGGAATAACCGTTTCACAGATGATATCGGATATGTTCCTTATGTCGTAACTACAATACCCTCCCCTTTTCACGAATGTGACCTACCGAATTAGACTACTTACCGGATTTGTAATAACATAAGCAACACGACGGGTGCCACATGTGGAGCAGGATCTGCTTACCATTCCGAAGCACCTTAAATCACCCCCAGTTTTTGGTGGGGTTCGTGTTGCTTAGACATTAGTTTTCTATGTTGTGTCTTGTGTACTAATATTTGTCTGTTTGTCTTTTTATTTTTTAGCCATAGCGTTGTCAGTTTATTTTCGATCTATGAGTTTGACTGTCCCTCTGGTATCTTTCGCCCCTCTTTTATTAAGACACTTTTTCATTTCAATTCTTACATTATATGCTGATCAACACAAATGTTTGATGTACATGTAGTTAATAACCCGTTGACGATTTTTTTAATATCAGCTTATAATTTATTCCAATGAAAAATAAAAAAAAATTGTACCCCAGACGTTTTGTCTACACAAGACTCATCAGTGACGCTCGAATAAATATAAAAATATAAAAATTGAAACGGTTGTTTGCTAAACTTTTTACAAAGTGACAATTGATATTTTGAAATTGGTACATAGGGTTCCTGCTGATCAATGACAGGTTTTAATGTGACATCTACCCTATAGTTACATATAGTAGTAGTTATGATTTAAACATGTCCCAATGACGATTATCTAATTACTCTTCCCCAAGGTTTTTTTTCCTTTAGAGCTAATTTCCTTATGCTTGAGCAAACGTTAATACAAACAAAGCAAGCAAGCCAACCAAAGTCTTAATCTACAAGTATTAGAAAATTAGCTCTAAATAAAATATTCTTACCTGATTCAAGTAAAAGTTTTGCAACCTCAGCATGGCCCGTTTGGCATGCTAGGTACAAAGGAGATTCTAAATCTTTGCTGAGTTTATTTATATCGGCTCCATAATGCAGTAAGGTGCGCACGCCATCTGTTCTTCCGTTACAACTTGTATAATGCAAAGCCGTTCTCCTTAGAAAAGAATAGTATTTAAAACAAACGTTAAATGATAACTAAGATATTTATCTACGTACATATAAAGTTGTGTAATATTTGCCTATTTCAGTGCACGTGCTTTTGTAATTAGCTTCACCATTAATGCTCATAACCCAAATGGTGTTATCTAAAGTGGTTGAGAGCGACCTCAAACAGAAAGTCTAATCGTCTAAGATTCATCTTTGTCTTTTGTGAAATTTAACCAACCAACTACGCTTAACATAAAATGAGGATTAAAAAAAATATCGAAAAAAAAAATAAATAAATAAAGAAGGTTAGGAAATTGCAATCGCAAGCAGAACGATATATATAAAAAGAAAAAAAAATAACTAAACAAAACCAAAAAAATTATAGAGGTGAACATCAGGACTTTAAATATAGACAATATGCTAAGCTCAAATCAACTCTTAATAGAACTAGAGGCTCTAAAGAGCCTGTGTCGTTCACCTTGGTCTTTGTGCATATTCAACAAAGGACACTTTCCAACATTGCAGACGAGAACATAATTCATGACAAAAATCTCTCTTTTGTTGATCTTGTATTGATGGTCATTTAGTCTGTTTAGTGTCCCTTTTTCTTCTTTAATTTTTGCACAAAACACAAAAGAGAGTAAAAAAAATCCGAATTTAAGGGCAATCACTCCAACAAAAGGTGACAGTCTACTAACTATATCGGCAAAATTTAACTTGTTAGTAGAACTTGCCTTGTTTTGATCATTTTTGTGATTTAAGTGCCTATTTATCTATTATAATTTTTAACATATAAGGCAAAACGCAAAAAAAATTTGTAAAAATCTTTAATCTTTTAAAGGGCAATAATTTCATTAAGGAGTCGTTGAACGATTTCCTCCATAAAAATCTTAAATATAGATCTTGTCTTGCTGATTATTTTTGTTTATTCAAGTTTCTATCTATCTATAATAATTTTTTAAATATAAGGCAGAATGTAAAAAAATTGGTAAAAATCGTCATCAAAGGGCTATAAATCTAATGAAAAGTCAACTGACGATTTTAACAGTGCAGACTTCTTTTAAACTGAGTTTTACTGTGCGTATTGCTATGTGTTTCTTTATTCTACATTGGCTAGAGGTATAGGGGGAGGATTGAGATCATACAAAACATGTTTAACCCCGCCGCATTTTTGCGCCTATCCCAAGTCAGGAGCCTCTGGCCTTTGTTAGTCTTGTATGTTTTTTTAATTTTAGTTCCTTTATATGTTTTGGAGTTTAGTGTGACGTCCATTTTCACTGTACAAGTACACAATTTTATTTAGGGGCCAGCTCAGGACCAACTCCAGGTGCGAGATTTTCTCGCTGCGTTGAAGACCCATTGGTGGCCTTCGGCTGTTATCTGCTCTTTGGTCGGGTTGTTGTCTCTTTGACATATTCCCCATTTCCATTCTCAATTGTATTATTTGAAGAACTTGACATGCTGTTCATTTTTGCAATTTAAAGTTTCACTCTATCTATTATAGTTTTCAAGATTATAGGCAAACATGAACAAAAATGGTAAAATTTGTCATTTAAGGGAAATAACTCCTATAAGAAGTCGTCTGATAGTTTTGACGTATATGGACAATTAGAAGGGCTCATCATTCTGAACATTTTTGCCCCTGTCAGATTTTCTCTTTTTATAAATAATAGACAAAACTTGCATTTTACCCCTATGTTCTATTTTTAGCCATGTCAGCCATCTTGGTTGGCAGGCGGAGTCATCGGGCAAATTTTTAAAATAGATACCCCAATGATGATTGTGGTCAAGTTTGGTTCAATTTGGGCCAGTAGTTTCAGAGGAGAAGATTTTTGTAAAAGTTAACGACGACAGACAATGACGACGACGGACGCCAAGTGATAAGAAAAGCTCACTTGGACTTTTAGGCCAGGT